CGAACGAAGGCCGGAAGTTCGCGGTGAAACCCAACAGCCCCAAGAAGGCCGTGGAATACTCGAACCGCATCGGCACCGGCGACCTCCAGGGCGGCATGCCCTCCCACCCGAGTCCCCGGCCGTCGGAGGTGCAGAAGGAGGAAAGCTTCAACTGGGCGAAGATCCTCACGCTGGGGCTTCAGTTCGTCTACAATCTCCTGAACCCCCCCGCCGTGGATAAAATCGGCGAGGGACCCAGCCTCCAGGTGAGAATTCGGGGGGGAAAAACACGAAAAGCTGGGCATTCTTCCACCCCGTGGGGCTTCTCCCCCGTCCATTTTTATCGCCCGCCCCCTCCGAAATCTGGGGCGAAGGACCGCAGAGCGATCCCATGCTCGAGCATGTCCTCTCAATGCAATTCGGGAGACAATGGCCCTCGGAAATAATGAGCATCGGAGGGTTAGCGGCTCGGCCTCTCTGACCCTCGACACCTTAAAAAGAATAAAACGGGGAAACAAAAGAGTGCACCGTTTGAAAATGCTTAGCTGTATTTACAACGGTCTCATCCTTGGGTGCGCAACCGGTCCACTCACCGTTTTCACATTTTTATTTATTTTATTCTATATTATATTATATTATATTATTTTATTTTATTTTATTTTATTTTATTCTATATTATTTTACTTTATTCTATTTCATTTTATTTCATTTTATTCTATTTTACTTTATTTATTTTTAGGACGGAGATTTCTCGTGGACAAAACTTCTCAGCGTCGTCTTGAGGGTAGCACTAGCCGGGCTCGGAGCCGACAACAAAATCGACAAAAACGACGGCGGACCATCATCCCCACTCGAAGTGAGTTTATATATATATATATATATATATAATTACCGGTTCAATCTGGGAATGACGTCGGCGAGGTCGTTCCCTCGACCCCTGGCTGGTTTTCCCGGCGAGACCTGTGAGACAGGAATTTTTGGAGGCTAACAAGAATTTTTTTCTTTTTAAGAAACAACTCCAATTCGGTTTTCGCTTGGTTTCTGTTATATATAGAGCATGCTGACGGCAGCCATGAGCATCTTCATGGGAGTCAAGGACCCTTCGGAGGTGGCCGTCGTCGCAAAGCAAGCCGGAGAGGTGAGTAAATTTCAAGTTTTATTAAATGATTATTTTATTTTATTATTATTATTTTTATTACTTTCATTTCGTTTTTTTTATCACGCTTTTGACGCGGAAGGCGCGAAATCGAATTTTTTTTCCCTATTGTAATGTAAATGAACTCCAGTCACGGACACCGGGTGTTCGTAATCGCTTCACGCGCCGTAAAAATCGAGCCCCATCGCGTGCATCCCAAAGGTCGTCGATCCCGCGATCCCGCCGATCCCGCGATAACGCGATACCGCTCTGCGTTTCCAGCTGATCAACCTGGTCGTGACCCTGCTGGACGCCCTGAAGACGTCCTTCAGCCAGAGGGCGCTGGAGGCCAGGTCCCTGGGGATGCCTTACTCCGACGCGGCCATCGCCGGGATCTCCCTTCTCAAGGTACGAACGTTTTTATTACTTATAACTATAAATAATTTACTGGAAATTACGGATGGGAAAAAATATATATAATCGGGTACAATTTTTGAGACGCGCTCTTCCTTTCCCAGACGCATTAAAAACGGTTACTTTCCCTCCCTTTAAAGTATAAAATTGCATAATTAAAAGAAACACGGAAGCTTTTTTCTTTCTTCTATTTTTTTTTGTTTCTTGTCGGTCCCAAAAAGTGAGACGATGCGATTCGATTGCAGGGCTACGCGCGGACGTTCCGAACCGGCGATGACCTTTGCACGCAGCGGGTCATGTGCGAGGCGAACCGGGAGTGCGTCACCGATTCGCTCAATGGGGGATATCCGTTCTGTCAGCTCGGATCGTGAGTTCCTTTTTTTTTTCGGCATGTTTATGGGGGGACCGTTGAAGGTCGGCGGCATGCATGCATGAACGCATGCATGAACGCATGCATGCATGCATGCATGGGTGCAGAAAGTGGGTCGTAACCCATGCGTTCCAAATTACGTCGGATTCTGACGCGACCCGACCTCAACCAAAACCGGAAATAAAAAGAAATTCGTATCATCATCCCGGCAACAAAAAAAAATAATCTGGGATCGCCGAAGCGTAAAGGATTGAACCCAGACTCAACCCAGCCCGGGTCATCAGCCGCTTCTAATCGCCGATGATAACGCATTTTATTCCCCTCATTCTAATGCCCTGGATTCGATTCTGCTCCAGATACCTCGTGTCGTGGGCCCTGGACCGACAGACGAGGATCCCGTTCGAGGCTTACACCGATGCTGCGAGGAGGGGACGGTCGCTCGAGGAATGCCAAAAGGTCTACGCGTGCGACAATCAAATTTAGCGGAATCCCGGAAGAGCTTTATATCATAAAACGACAAAAAAAGGCAAAAAAAAAAAACCTTTTTTTT